GACTCGAAAAAATTTCAAGTTAAGTTCAAGTTGAAAATATGACTCGTCAACTCAAATAATTCGAAATTTTTTACTCGACTCGATCAAATGCTCACCCCTACTTTCGTTCTTATTTAATTAAGATGTGCTCAGCACGAGTTAACTGTCGTTAAATATTTTTATATAATTACATATTTGGTCCTTGTTATTTATATATTCTCTCAATATAATCATACTTTTAATAAATTAAAATAAATTTAAGGGCAAACTATGTCAATAGTCCCCTTTATTTTTCAGTTTGACCGACTTTAGTCACCGATTTTTTTTTTAATTAAGTACGCTTGGTCCTTTATGTTATCGGTTCGTTTGTATTAAGTTTCTCAGTTCGTTTGACTTTGGTACATTTAAGCTATTGAACCAATAGTTTTTTTTATTTAATTTTGATAATTGGTGCTCTTTTTTATTTTTGTTTTGGTTGTGGACCTTGTTGAACCAACTTTTGATTTTGATATAACATGATTTTTTAAATGTTTTAAGTATTTAAAATTTGCAGTTTAAGAGTTTATAAATAATTTGTATAAACTTTGGTACATTTAAGCTATTGAACCAATAGTTTTTTTTTATTTAATTTTGATAATTGGTGCTCTTTTTTATTTTTGTTTTGGTTGTGGACCTTGTTGAACCAACTTTTGATTTTGATATAACATGATTTTTTAAATGTTTTAAGTTGTTAAAATTTGCAGTTTAAGATTTTATAAATAATTTGTATAAACTATTTTAAAGCGTTTTTAAGTTTGAAAAATAATCATAAGTGTTCTTGAGAAATTTCATAAATTATAAATATCGTTTTAAAGCTCAAAACACTTGAGTTTAGCCAAAAACCCTCGTTAGTCTCGAGACCAACATTCCAGTCTCAAGACCAAAATTCCAAAAAGCTTTTTTTGTTATCGATACCATGATGTTGATATCGATATTAATAGGTAAGTTTTGATACTCACGTAAACAATATCAATACCAAGGGTTCAACGACTATAATTTTGACAGTTAGGATGATTTGTTTCAAAACCAACTTCCCGATATCTATACCAAATGTGCATGTGAGCATTAAATGCTCAAAATTAATGAATCCAATGGCTCCAAATCATCCCCAAAGGCTAGAAACGGTTACAAACTCATTTCAACATATAAAAACAAATTGATGACACTTTAAGAATATTACAACACTTATTCAAGCAATCTATATCAAGAGAAAAGTTTTTTCAATCTCATTTTCCTTTTTTTATTGTAAATATAGTTTTTGTGAGCTTAATTTGTAAACACCTACGTCATAGAGGTTTTCTTGTTTACAATCTTTTATCCTTTTGTAAAAGGTGTTTTGGTTCTATCTTTGTAATCCCCTAAACCAATACGACACACACTCAACCATTTAGAATTCCACACAGAACCTAAAAACCCGAATTTTTAAGAAAACCCAAAATTTACTGAAATTATAAAAAAAACTTTGAAAAACTAAAATATCTCATTTCAACCCCATTACCAATCATTGCCGATCATCATCGTCATCGTCGAACGGTCACCCACCCGTCACTGCCCGCCCTGTAATCAATCGTTGTCCTTACCTCTCACAAATCTCCTAAATCTCTAAAAAATGGCTGTCCCTTTTTCCCATATATATGGGGTAAGGGGGAGGTAAGATAGTAGGCTACCCCCAACACCAGGTTGAGAGCAGCTTCCGTAAGAGACCTCCGAATTATGAAATGTTCCAATGCCCTAAATCTACTACTGAAATTGAAAAAGCACACTTCACAGATTCAAATCGGCAACTAATCGATGCTTGGTTTACAAGGAAGAGAAGTTAAACAAAACATAAATTGATTATTATCTTTTTTGGCTTTAATATACAAAAGGTGCCCAACGTATGTCCATTTTTCCAGTTTAGTGCCTAACGTTTTTTTGTTCTAGTTTGGTGCCTAACGTTTCATACCGTTACTCAAAATAGGTCACGCCGTGACGAACCGTTAGTTTTCTCCGTTAAGTGACACGTGTCACAATCTGGTAATTTTAAAAAATTATTTAAAATTAAAAAATTATATTATATTATTTTTAAAAAAGCAAACACAATAATTTTGAAATAATCCCAAAACTTTGAAAAATTTCATTTCAACCCAAAAATTATTTAATTTTCAAAAACAGTATCGATACTCATTAAAGAAATATTGATACTTAGGGTCCAATATCGATACTCCAAGGGTAAGTATCGATATTGATTATTTTTTAAAACATCTAAGCCAAATTTGGTATCAGTCTTCATGGGAGTATCGATACCCAAGGTAGACGTATCAATACTCCTTATAGGAGTATCGATATCGATACTGGGCATATTTTCAAAACATCTAACCTAAAAATTGTATTGATACCCAAGGAGAGGTATCGATACTAAAGGATCGATATCAATATCGATATCGAATGACTAGTATCGGTACCAGTGTACATTTTGGAGCATTATTTTTTAAGAAATTTTAAGAGGACAATGAGGTTTCCCAAGAACTCTATAATTACTTTCAAATAAGATTTCAAGTGGAAACGTTAATAATGATTAATCACACTTAGAAAAGAGATCAATTAGGGTGACATAAAACTAGCCTTGATTGATGCTCGGGAAACGATCAAGACACCCGAGTTCCTTTAGTAAAAATAATAGTGTTGAAGTATAGAATAAGTCCGAATATCCTTGGGTAGTGCGCAAGGCACTTTAAATGACTAACTAGGGCGCAAGGTCCGACACTCGCAAGGGGTGGGTTAGTCGAGGGTGTTGTGTCCGATATAAAGATTTTGGGCTTCATTCTCGATAGGCTAGATGAGTGTATGAGTTCTGAGATGCATAATCCATCAGCCGCACCATGATGTCTACCATAGAGTAGAGAGTGGGTATACGAGTATTCTGTATTTTATCAGTTAGCTTGAGCATGAAATGAACATTTTTAGTATGGTTTAGTTGTTAATGTGGCACTGGTCTAGTTAGCTCAGCGATTGTAATTTGTTTTCTTACGCAGATTCATAGGTGGAGCTATTGAAGAGCTTTTGTTGAGCCAAGATCTAGACCGATATTTCAGAGCAGAGTACGTCTCGAGTTCTTCTTTAGAGGGCATGTATATTTGTATACCTCATTTTGTATATTTGAGTCATAATTTGTTTTAAACGATAGTTTGTATAAATTGAATTATTATGTTTTTAGAGCTCCTGATGTAGACCGTTTTATATAAATGTTGTTGTTTTATTTCTTTATGAGTATTTACAAATGTTTATTATACTTGAGCAAGTAAAGAAAATTTTTTGTTAGCTACTTCGGTGAAAGTAAGTTTTTTAATGTTTTAAAAAACATTTTATTATTAGAAAAGTTAAAATTTAAAAAATATAACAGTAGAAACATAAATGTGTAACGGAGAAAACATTAAACACTTATTTTTAGCGAAAAATTCTTTAGGCACCGAATATTATTTCAAGATATTGTATAAGCACTTATTTTTACATTAAGCTATTTTTTAATTAAAATAAGTGCTTAATATCTTCTTATCATTTAAGATATTTAATCGTAAAAAAATTGTTATACAATCACAATTGAACACATACTTTTTTTAATTTCTTTTAATTATGTTATAAAAATTAAAATAATTAATTTAAAAAAATAATATTAATTAGGAATTGGTCAAGCAACTATTGATTGGCAAATGTTGTAATGGAAGATAACAAGATGATTCTAAAATGGCAACATAATGAAATTATAGACACTTACATGGTAATAAATAAGTGATATACTTTATATACTTATTTTTAATTAGAGATTTTTTATAAAAAATAATTTTTTTTATATTGTATAGATATGGGTTGAATGTTACCAGCAGCTGTAACTATTACCAGCAGCTCTAATAAAATCTTGGCACATATACTTTGTACTTTCCATGAAAATCCACTAAAAATATTTTGGGGATAATCACCATGCAAATCCTTTCTCTTTTGAAAACATTACAATCTAGTCCTTAAATTTTCAAATTTCACTTATTGAGTAATTTAATCCTGAATCGAACCATCATTTATCCAATAAATTTAATTGATCTAGACACTTTTCAACGATTCAAACGAATATTAAAATCCTCGAAAGAATGTTTTAATCATCGAAACTGAAAAAATCCGATCAAAGAAATCAAGATGTTACGTAAAATAATACACCTTTTGGAACTATATTCATGAAAATTTGAATATTAAAAAAAATTCAAAACAGATATTTTAATGAAAAAATGGTAAAGGAAATAGGGGAAAATATAAATATATGAATACAGCTGCCATTATGTTCTGCAGATCGAACACTAATATTTAGTTACTCTAACTTTTAATATACTATCGATGATTTGAAGAAGGTTGATACTACTACACCTGCAGAATGCTGGAGCCACATATTAGTGAGGGTGAGCACTGAGATCTGAAATATCTTCGATTAATTATTTATTTTATTGATGGTGTCCACCATGATATTTGAGTTTTCTTCCGTTAGTTACTTATTTTATGGATGATGCCCATCATAAAATTTATTTATACTAATCCAATTTTAAAAAAATTATATTGTTAACGTACGTATGACCACTTTGAAAAATATTTATGGATCCGTTGGTGACCAACTTGATTAATTTATCAAGAACAAGTAAAAAATATTAGAACCAATAATATCGGCAGCTCTTATTCTCATGAACCGAAAAAAGAAACTGATGGTACACTCCAAAGAGTTTTCTTAGCATCAAAGATGATGAGATTTTAAGGTTAGCATCATGAGATTTTAAGCAGATGAGAAACGGGCGCAGAAATTTATGTTAGGAGTGCGAACTTAAAAAATTATATTAAAAATTTTAGGAGATACAAAATTAGATAATCAATATAAAATACAAATAAAAAATTTAAAATATAAGAAAATTTAAAAATTTTAAATACACCCCTCGGTTCATCCTTGTATATAGCACAAAACCCATTACTTGATAATCAAAGTTTACATGAATATTTTACACAGGACAGGAACTTAAACTTCTGGTTACTACACAATCCTGATAAAAGTAAAACCGTAAATCATACCTTCATGACAGAAATATACTTTCTGGCGGATTAATTCATGAGAACTTAATACCAAAGGATGCCAATTAAATTGCTAATATAGCAGTACAAGGACCAGTGCAAGTTCAACCAGTAGAACTGCAGATGTACTATTTGAAACCCACTTATCTGAAACAAGACAGCATCACTTGTCTCCAAACAGGTAACCCAGAGATGAATCTCCGCCAGGAACCGATTTAACTTTTGTTGATGGACGATCCTGAAATCTCACAACACACAGTTACTTAGCTTAAAAGCTAAAATGAAGAACTAATAATATTTTCCATTTCAAGATGTGAAAGAACTCACGGTTATGAAGTTGCCTGAATTCTGTCCTCGAGCTCTATGATAATTGTTGGTAATGTTCGTCTCTTTGTCTTTCTGTGAACTTGGTTTGTTGGGAGTTGGGGGCTTCTCTGGGGTGATATCTATCCCGTATGGAGGCTGGATCGGTGGTGTTAGGGCTGCTGCACTTGGCTGCTCTTCGTCACTAAAGAGGTAGCCCAAGGAACTCCGGCCGCCGCCGTAACTACCACCTCTACTCATGGTTGGATTACTGCTAGAGTTAGCTGACAAGTAAATTTCAGACAAGGGAAAGAAAGGGAGAAAACCCTAATATATATATTGTGTTTAATTAGCTCTATGCCTAAGAATGGACCCAAGGGTGTTGAGGTAAGATAATATCCCTTAATTTTTTTTTTAATTTTTATGTTTTTTTATTAGTAATCTAATTCTTCACTCTTAAAATTTTAACATAAATTCTTAAATTCACACTCTTAGTAGAAAACCCTTCCGCCATACCTACTAGACCAATTATGTACATTAGCGTTATTATTATCAGAACGATTAATGATAAATAAATATGATTGAAAAGAAAACAAAATAAATAATACTAAGATTTACGTGAAATACTCCAAAGAGAAAAACTATACACAAAGTAGAAAAAAATTCACCTTATCAAAAATGTATAAGATCTATTACATACCAAAACACTATTCCCTACTTTTTATTTATAGGGATATGAAATCTTGTTCACAAAAAAAAACCTTGTTGGTCTATCATGCAGGCTTCACATGTTTATCACTGTGTTAATTGTAATTTCATAATTTGATTAAAAAAATTAGTCATAGCTCTAACAATTAGTAATGAACTGTTGGAATCAAGAATTAGTAAAGAAAACATGTCTTAAACGCTAATGAAATGCACAATATCGCTGTTCTTGGAAGGAGAATCCTATGGTTTTCCTTAGCGTTGACCTAGCGTGAATGGTTTTGGCAGAGACGTAAATTTAAACACTAATGTTTCATCACATGAATTATGGAAAACTTTTTATTTCTATCATCAGCCACATCAATTTACTGTGATTAATTACCCACCATATGAATCATTTATACACAGTATTATCTGAATATGCCATGGAAAAATGGCATGATTCAGATTCGAACTGTATATTGACATTGTTGTCAGCTTCCTCGTACAAATAGGGCATAAATAAATCGAATTTGAACGAATAATTTTGTATTCGTGTCCGTTTGTTTATTTTTAAGGTGTCTGTGTAATGCCCCGGAACCCGAGTCAATAATTCGAGTCAACCCAAAACCCATAAGTCAAGCCAATTAGACCTCTTAAGATAGTTAGACCAGTTCAAAAAGGGTATTGGGCTTAGGTTGGCCCAATAATCAAAGGATAGTGGTGTTTTTAAATATGAGTTAAAGGGAGAAAGACTAAAAGTGTAGTTTACCCGTAGCTTGTTTTAAATGTTAAAGAGCCCCTTATCTCCCTTATTTTTCACGTGAGTCATTCCCTAAAAATATCTTCCTATTTTCTTCTTCTCCAAACTCTTCTTCTTCATTTTTTCTACTTACCCAAATCATGTTTTAAGGAATTTCAAGCTTAGTTTGAATCCACCAAGGTAAGAGTCTTATTCTCATTCTCTCAAGTTTCATTTCAAGCTCTTAATCTTAGGTTTTGATTAAGATTTATGAAATGGGTTTTTAGAAATCAAGTGTTTTAAGTTATTTTAGAAAAGTGTTTGAGTTGTAGGGAATGTATCTAAGCTTTATCCAACACCTAGTTAGGTAAGTAACCTATTTTCATATCTTGATTAGTTAAAGAGGTTGAAGAGAGAGTTCAAGCCAAGGAAAAGGAAGAGTGGATCCCTAGTTGATTCAAGAAGTGTTCTAGCATCCAACGAATCCAGGTAACACACTATTAGCTTTTCTATACCAGTTGTAGGATCATTAGAAAGAAGTTTAGCTTGAAAGTTGAGTATGAGCATGTTTATTAGCCTTCCATGGTAGATTTTATGTTTAATGTTTTTAGCATGTTTCTAAGCCTTATTTATGTTCCCTTAATATCACATAAGACTTTAAGAATGTTTGGGCACCTCTCTAGGGTCTTTGGGATTGAAAAATAGAGTTTCTCGTGCTTGTTGTATGGTTTCTGCAGGTAGAGTATTGAAACTATAGGGATAATACGATATTTGTTCTTCGGTTCTGAGTAAAATCATGTTTTCTGGGTAGGAGTATCAAAACTCTTTCATGCGCATCAAAACTTTGGGTCATAGTTTCCAAACTCCCATAAAGTACCGAAATTGGGCATTACAGATTGTTTAAAAGTATCGGTACTTATATAAAGTATCGAAACTTTTGCGGGAGTATCGATACTCTTGGGCTAGTATCGATACTTCCAGTATGTTTTGGGTAGAAAATTTAGTTTTTAAGGGATTTAGACACGAGGTACCCCAACACTTCATTATATTATCAAATAAGACTACAAGTGGAACAATATTAATGTTAATTCAAACGTAGAAACCAAATAATTAGGGACATATAAGACTAGCCTTGTTTGATGCTTGGGAAACAATTCAGACTCCCGACTTCCTTTAGAAAAGCTAGTGGAGTCAAAAGTATAGATGTAATATGAATATATCCTTAGGTAGGGCACAAGACCCTTAAATTTGACTAAATAAGGCTAATGCCTGACACTCGCAAGGGGTGGGTTAGTCAGGGGTATGGTGTCCGATGCAGAATTTCGGGGGCCATATCTCAATAGACTAGAGGGGTGCGTGAGCTCCGAGATTCAATAATCCTTCAGCCGCACCATGATGTCTACAATAGCGTAGAGAGTGGGTATCACAAGGATATTCACTAAGCAAATCAGATCAGTAAACTTGATAGCTAGCCTTTCAGTGATATGCACTTAGTATGTTTAAGCTTTTAGTGTGTCGCAGAGCTAGTTAGCTCATCCTTTGGATGTTTCTGTGGGCAGGTCAGTAGATCCAGTAGGTGAGGAATTGTAGAAAGACTAAAATCCAGTTCAGACCAGTGCAGATTCAGAGTACATCTCAACATTTTTGAAAGAGCATGTATATTTGTAAACTTTATTGTCCAGTTGAGTCGTAGTTTCAGTAGAGCGGTCTGTATCATTTTTGTAAAGGGTAAACATTTTAATTTGGAGCTCCTTAGTGTAAAGACTTTATTTATTCTTCATTTTATTTTACAATTGTTTTTATATTTAAAGAAAGTACGAAAAAGTTGGTCAACCACTTCGGTGGTTCCGTGTAGCACCTTAAATCGATCGACTATGTGTCGTACTGGTATAAGGCGTTACAATTTTTGTTCGGTTCATTTAGTTTTCACGAACATGATCTTTTAGTGCTTGTGTTGGTTCGCTTAGCTTTCGCAAATATGCTCTTTTAGTATTCGTGTTTGGTTCGTTAGTTTTTGTGAACATGATGTTTTAGTATTCGTGTTCAGTTCATTTAACTTTCATGAACATGATGTTTTAGTATTCGTGTTTGGTTCATTTAGATTTCATGAACATGATCTTTTAGCATTCGTCAACATGTTCAAAAAATGTGTGAAATTATGCCACTAATCCTTAAGCTCCTTAGGCTTAGTTGTTTGAACTTCAAACTTCACCATGTGTTTAATTTAGTCCATGCTTTTACCAATATTTAAATAAAATGAAAAGAAGAACTAAATAAACGAGCTTATAAACAAGCCAATAAAAAGGCTGAAAAACAAGCTTGTTCATTAATATAAACAAACCGAACACCTCTATACATGTTTGTTTATTTATCAATTGAACTTAAAAATTTTGTTCAAATAGTTTATTTATCTTAACAAACGAACATAAACGAATATTTTACGAACAATTCATGAACAGTTCATCGAACACTCCCTACCTACAAACCTCATCAGATTAAGGAAGCTTAAATGGATATCATAAAAGGGTATTGGATTTGATGTTCTTTGGTGGGCGAGCTTTTAAGCATCTGCAAATATCTGAGAGAAAATAAAGTTATCAAAAGGTATCATAATTGATGTTTTTGAGCTATGCTTATCGCTTAGATTACTAAATCAGAAAAAGCAACCATTTGGGCAGCTAAAGCAAATAACCTGCTCGTCCACCAACACATCACCAGCTAGATTCATCTTTTTGGGGTGAAATGCCCAGATATGGTGTATGTGTAGAGCAGGTTTATGTGACAAAACATAGCTCAACCACCATACCATGCAAGTTAGCACAAAAAAATGACCCTAGAACTATCCCTATGCCAAGTTGCAGAGATCTGTTGGTTAAGTGTTCATATCAGGTGGGCTCTACCATCCATCCAAAACTGAAACAATTAACCATAATTATAGGGATTAGTGGTTTCTAGTTCAATAGAATCGTGACACGTAATGAGCTTTAGGGTTGCTTAAGACACGGTCATTACTACGTTGGGGCCATTTCAGGTGAACTGTAGAAGCATCTACCAGGAATTACCGTCAGCTTACACATTCTAATCAACCAATCAAATCAGGGAATTAAGGGGACGATACCTCACCATAAAAAGTACAAATAAGGGAAAAAATGCTGGCATTAATCATGGATTCATGACATTCTATGAGACTCATTGATTAAAGGGATGGGGGAACGGGTAAATAGGGTTAAATCAAGAGAATGGGTAACTTTAACACAACATATGAAAAAGGGGAATGATAATTTGATTGATGCTATACAAGTAGTGTCTTTAAATGGGCACATTAATGATTTGTATGGTTAGGCATCGAGTCAGAATTGAATATTGAAAGAGATAGAAATATTAATTTTTCTAAGAAAAATGCAATAGCTTACTAGCTATTTAAATTCAAACTTCGGAAGATAATACATAATTTGTCAAATATTTAAACTTACAATCACTTAAATTACTATTAGACAAAAACTTTTGAGAACACGATTTCATCCTTCTTTAGTTTGGCCCATACTTAATTAAATATTTAATATTTTTTTATATATTTTTAATTTGAATACTTCTTTTACACAAATCAAAATACTATTAGATCAAAATTTATCAAATATATAAATGAGACACTTTTAGGCCAACACACAAATCAAACTGTCTCTATGTATGGTCAGTGGTGCATTTAGAATTTTTTTAGTGTGTTATATAAGTGGGCACAATAAAATATCAGATAATCACAATCAGGGACGAAGCCAAGATTTAATTTAACAGAGGCCAGATCTTTTAAATGGCTTTATGTTTATATACAATTTTACTTTTATTATTTGTTTATTTCAAAAAATATAAATGATAATATCAAATATGCATATTAATTCTAT